ACATATATATATGTGTGTGTGTGTATGTGAGTGTATTTATTCATGTATAGATTTTTACTTATATATTCATGTGTTTGTTTTTATCAATTCAAACTTTCGTTGCGCGTAGTATATTTATATACGCCAACTCAGATTTGCGTGGATATTCTACTTTTATGTATCTAAATAAATATACATATTCTATATATTTCATTGCGTTCTTGTTTTGTAGAGGTATAAATGTACCCAACAACATATTTGCACATGAATCCTAGTGAACATAACTATAAATAAGTGTATATCGTCGTTCAATCTTGCTTTTCCATACAACCACTCCATTAATTATCAGCCACTCAATTGTACAATAAGTTGATCTGATTTCCCATGCACCACATCCAACACGCCACACAGATTATCGCAGGCATCGATATGGAAGCCTTGGCACGGGAAGGTCTAGACATTAAAGCACTCGGCATAGTAGAGGTGGATGCGTCCCTTCTCACACCTATCGCCAAGGTGAACAAGAATGAGAATCTCGAGGTATGTGTTTGTCTGCTGACAAGTTCCGTTCAAGGCATCTTGTTGTTTTCTTTAGTGATGTAGTGGTGGAGGATGAGTCAGTGTACGGTACACCTGGGGAGTTGTGTAGGGGTTGTTATGTGTATGCCTTTGAGGATAATTAGAGGTTAATCCCGTAGATAGTAAGCTCATAAAACAATAATATGTCTTTAACTTGAATGCCTTGGCTTAGTATCTGCCATGGTTTGTGTGCGTAATTGAGCTTCCCATTACTATCCTAGTGATGTGAGAAGCTCTTTGAATAGCCCCAGAATGAGGGTGGTATTGGTATCTTTTCACATGCTTGACCCTGACTGCAAGTCTATGAGCAGAATATCCCATTGTTGTTAGTTTGTAACTGTTTGCACAAACTCGGTAGTGGAACCTCGATAGTCAAAGACCCTATGGTACATTACTACAGTGTGCATTTAAAAAAATTGAATATATGAATACCCATTTCGTTGGCTCAAAATGTCCCCAAAATAGAATGAAAAAAAAATACATATTGAACAATTGGACGACTATACCTGCCTACTTTCCACTGAAAATTCCCGTACTCACACACTATAACCAAGGCCAACATGTAGGCACAACTAAGAATTGTAGAATGAAATACAACCGGTGGTAGATTGTAGTTTATTCCTAGTCGCATATAAATGAAGGTGTGCGATTCCAAAGTACCGAACTTCTGACAGACAACGGTTACTAAGTTGCACAAATAAGGAAGGTTTTGGTACTTACCTACACCTTCTGGCCTTCGTTCATCATTTTCCTCCTGTCCCGGCACCTGTAACCACACTACTACACAGAATGGCTTCTCCGATATGACCAGCCTCACGCGGCTGGATGAGAAGACAGTGCTCAACAACCTGGAGAAACGCTTCAAGCGCGATATCACATATGTAAGTCTTGGGGTCTTGGGTTTCGTTTGCGCTATATATACCATCGTCCATGTGCCCTTTCGCCTCACTAGCCATACGGACAAGGAACGTATCTTATGTATACGATGGCTGTTATATGAATGGAGACTATGAAATTCAATTCGCAGCCAGGCAGTTATATTGATTGTTTCACGATAGTTCGGCATCCGCTATCGGGAAATATATACTGCTTGTACTGGGCTCTCGTGTGCAGGCGTGGTACTAAAGCTCGGTCCTGTACGTATGTGTGTATGACAATTCGGTGGATAATCCGCCACGTAGGTATTGAAATAAAACCTTAAAACCTAAACCCCTAACCCAAACCCTTAAAACATATCATCCGCACAGACATACATCGGCAGTGTGCTAGTGTCTATCAACCCATTCCAGGCCATTGACGGCCTCTACGACAACAAGGCACGCTTTCACGAGAAGAGTCTGGGCGATCAAGCCCCGCATGTGTACGCAATTGCCGAGAAGGCGTACGCGTCTATGCTAACCAGCGCACAGAACCAGTCGTTTGTGATCAGCGGCGAGAGTGGGGCGGGAAAAACGGAGACCATGAAGCAGATCCTGAACTACCTGTCTGAAGCTTCAACACGTGCACATGAGGGTGTAGAAGGTAGGTCGTTGTCTTTCTATATATCGTTGGCAACGGGATCTGAGAAAGTGGGCAAGGATTTGTGTGTGTGTGTGTGTTTGTGGTGTATGTGTTTGTTTGTCAATGAGGGCGTATGTGTATGTTATCGTGTATAATCTTAATGTATGTGTATGCAGTATTCTACTTGTATGTATATGCATATATATATATGTATGTGTATATGTATATGTATATAAATATATATATATATATGTACATATACATATTTA